ATTTTTATTATTTTTTTCATTTAAAAATAATTTTGTGCTCATAACATATAAATGGATTTCAAATTTATTATTTAATTTTTGGGAACATATACTTTAAATGAGTGCAAATGAATTTGCGCTCGTGCCAATGCCTTTCGTTCGTATGTCATTACTACCTAATTTTACAATGAGAAAACAAATATCTAGACTAATAGATATATCCTTGAGCTGGTAAAGGTGTTTGACCATAAAAAATGATACCCTCGTCCGTTCATGGGATTAATGGTCAACGTTACACTGCAAAGCGAGCTTTGTTTATTTCCTTTTGTCGGGTCAAACGAATGTGCAGTGTAGTTACTCTAACGAAGATTTTGTACTGAATGAGTTCCAGAGTTATAGCTCTGTAGTTGAAGACGGTGTTGTATAAAAGGAGAGGTAGTAGGGGGAGGAACACTAGGGGTGGACACAGATCGGATATCCGGTTTTTTTAAAGTACTAGGATAAGACCCGCGCCTTGCGCGGGATGAAGCTATTATTTCTATTATGTTTTGAAAAATGAAACAATAGTTCGGTTTCATTCGGATTAGAGGTGTTTAATCCGGATATCGGGTTTCGGTTCGGCTCGATTTTTTGGTATTTCAATCATTAAAATATAACTACTACTCTAAATCTATATGTACTTCAGTTTGATTTGGTTTATATACCATCGGTTTTCAGTTTATTCAATTTTATACCAAAAAACATAATTATTTAGTTTGAGATCATATTATATATTATACAAATATATAATATGATCATATTTAGAATCATATTGTCACAGAGTCATTTATTAAAAAAATATTATATAATTAAATAAAAGAATAAAAAACAAAAAAGGCTTCTATCATCTAATAAAATGATCAAATCTAGAATTAATATCAAAACACTAAATTTTGAAAACAAAAATAAAAAATGGAAAAGAAGCATGAAGAAATTTTTTTATATTCTTCCATATTTAGTGTTCATCAAACCAATATGTATTCGATTAAACACAACTCTGTTTGTTTAAAAATAAAAAAAAAGTTGTAAAGAATTTCAACTAATTGCTGTCCATCAAATTTATAATCTTTACTTCAATTTAGTTACTGTTTAAAAAGCAAAAGATCAAAATAAGATGTCTCAATTGTAATAAATTGTTAGCTATTTACAAATTATAATTATAGTTCAACTCATGTAACAAATAGATATTCATGCGTCGTTATAAATATATACATATTTACATGTTTCAGTTTAATCGGTTATAAATTAAACCATATTCAAATCCTATGGTTTTTATAAAATCACATCCATTCGGTTTGGATGGTATATACCAAAAATAACCATATTATCAATTTTTAATATCTTTTAAAAATATAAAATTAAAAAAAGAACTAAGATATTAAAATCATTGATAACAAAAATTTTCAATGTGAAAAATTGATTAATTTTATAATTTATAAATGTTCTTGAAAATTTATTGAAAACTTTGAAATTAAAATATTTATCTAATCTTATATGGTATATAGTTTAATCTGTATATATATTTGTTTTATTATTGAATGATACTTTTTATTTATATAGTTTTAAAATCATGTATATCTTTTTATAATAAAAATTTTAAACTATTGATCATTAATTTTTAACATAATAATTTTAATAGTTTAGTTATTTATTCTCATTTTTTAAAATTCAAAATATAACCTATACGAAAAAATCTAAAATTTAATTTTATAGCTAATTTGATTGTTTAATTTATTTTAATAATGTAAAATNACTATTGATCATTAATTTTTAACATAATAATTTTAATAGTTTAGTTATTTATTCTCATTTTTTAAAATTCAAAATATAACCTATACGAAAAAATCTAAAATTTAATTTTATAGCTAATTTGATTGTTTAATTTATTTTAATAATGTAAAATTAAAGAAAAATGATGGAGGATATATAAACTGTTATCAAATATTTATTAATAGAATCATTAAGTGTCATATATATATATTAGTCATTTATGGTAATTCTGTACGTTTTATTTATGGAAAGAAAATAAAATAGTAATTATATCTAGGGGATCAATCATTAAGTGTCATATATATATATTAGTCATTTATGGTAATTCCGTAGATTTAATTTATGGAAAGAAAATAATGTAAACTCGGTTTGATGCGTGGGATATATATTAATGTAAACTCGGTTACATGCGTTACATGCGTCTGTAATTATTGTTTCCCTAGCAAATTTCAATTGAACCTAAAGCTGCCACGTCAGTTTAATTGGTATGCTAATTGATTGACAACTAAGCAAGGTTACTTTTTAATTATTACAAACTCGAGGTTACATCTTTTCAAATGTTTCTCAATTAATATATAGGTGATTTGTGATTTGCTTCGAATGTTACGGATATCTAATTTTGGTATTTGCTTTGCTTCGAAAAAATACGAATATCCGGAAAAACGGATATCCGGAAAATAAATAGATATTTGCGGATATTTACGAATATTTACGGATATCTCATCCATTTTAATTAGTACAAATAATCTTAAGATTTTGATACAAATTTTCTTTGCAAAAATATTTGTTGCATGATATATAAAATAAAACTTAAAAGAACTAGTGAATTTATAGATTTTGTAATTTTTTAAAGTTTAAGTTACAATTATAATAACACAAAATTTAAGAAAAAATATAATTGTCAAAAATATTTTATCTCTTTTTATGTAATACTTTTATATAAGTAATAATTTGAATAAAATTTTTCAAAATCATGTGCTAAAATAATAATTATATAATTTTATATAATTAAAATTTTAAATATAATCAAAAAATATATATATATTTATATATTTACGGATCGGATCGGATATCCGCTTTCCAAAATTTTAATATTTGTGATTTGCTTCGATTTTAACGGATATTGAATTTTAATATTTGCTTTGATTCGAAAGTTTACGAATATCCGGAATTTTCGGATCGAATCGAAACGAATAACGGATCGAATCAAATATAACGGATAAAATGCCCAGCCCTAAGGAACACCAGTTCCTAAGAGGTTCTTAACCACCTCCGATTTCAGTTTGCAGGAGGAGGAACACCAGTTACTGGTTTCGACACTATGATGTATGTTTAAGGAAAATAAGGCCAAATCAAAATAAGTCAACTGTTTCCAACGACTAAGACCCAAGTTTAACAAAAATTAAGAGTGAATGGAAATCCTAGAGGAAAAAAATAAGCTAGGTAGATACTGTAAGTTCAATGGTGATGAAGCGTCGATGGAGATGAGAGGGCCAGTATGAGATGTTTTAATTACTGCATTTGCACGCTTCTTCTCCACTCCCACTATTAGGAGCACTTGCCACACAAGAAGGACAACCAGAGCAGGTTGAACCTAAGGCAGATTAACATGCTACACTTGCCCCCATGAAACTGGTCACCATCATCACCTGCATTTCTGGTATCTCAACGGCTTGTGATGGAGGGGGAAGAAGAGAAAGGGAGAGAATCTTGGTGACAGTTATGGTCTGCCTCATTGCTGTAAATTACCAATCCTTCACCTTCACTCTGAACTTGTGGGTTTTCCCTACTATATCAAGCATACATCGTGGTGTTGGCATCTCATAATGATCACCTATGTCTCCATTTGCCTGACATTGACATCATCTTTAAACCGAGTCCAGACAACAGGAAAAAGAACATTAAGAAAAGTAAAGATAACGTCGAAATAGTTGTCAGGTAACGCTAACACCTGCCTTCCCATGAGCTCAGGACCAGTAGCACAAAGTATTACAAAAAGTGGCCTTCTTGCCTTTGTTGTAAACCAAAATTTTAGAACGATACCTGTATTGAAGACCAGACGACTTAGAATGAAAGGATACGGGATGAAGAAATCTGAGGATTAGGAAAGCTAACCTTGAACATGCCTATCTTACCTTGAGGTCTCACCCTAAACATGCCAAACATTGCCTCACTTAGAAGTCATATGAAATCGAAAACGCATATCTTACCTCGGTGATACATGTTGCTTTCCACAAAAATCTACAGCATACCCATAAGTATTCTGTTAATGTAGAAAGAGAGTGACCTTATGAGCATCAGAATTGGTGTACGGATGAGCAGTTCCGTTAGACAACACAAGCCCTGTGACCTGAGAAAATTGTATAGATGTCATCGGTTACTTCTGCTCCAATCTCTGCCACAAAGACACAAACATAGCTGTTAAGAGAAAAGAATATTTGATTGTTCTTTAAATGGAAGACATGAAAATGCAAAAAAAAATCTAGACTTGGTAACTACCTGCAAAGTAGTATAGGCCATGGACTGAGATAGTCTTCTTTAGGATACGATTAAAACATACTGGAGAATCTTATAAACCTGTCTAAACCAAAATAAAAAAATCTTGTTCAACAGATGGAAATCATCAAACAATGGTGGAGGAGGATTGGTACAACAAAGATTTAAGACTGAAATATTATAGCTGCTACAATCTTACTATAGACAGTGAAGAATCATGAGGAAAGATCAAATGAGTGTCGACGATCAAAACTTATGGATGATCATCTCATATTGAGAGTAAGGAGGATCTGATTCAACATGTAGCAACTGCAGGACTCGGTCACTACAACTGCAGGACTCGGTCACTACAACTGCAGGACTCGATCCATTTACTCAGTTCAAGGATTCAATGTTACAAGTGTCTCTCTCAAGTTACAGGAAACCCATTTATAAACTCTCTACGTCAACCCACGTGATGAATTTTAAAAAAAAACTCAACAAACCATATATTTACCCTCGGAAGCCATTAAGTTTTTTTTTGTTTTCGCATGTGATAGTAATGTAAGGGACAAATGAATGGTTGGTAATGAAAACACTCTCTGGTCTGCTGACACAAATACTGAAATACTTTTTTGGCTCCTAAAGAAAGAACATATGAACTCTACGCTAAGCTTATCAAAGCAGAGATAAAATCCTCTTCGGCATTCACAATACAATTCAGATGGAAACCTGTTTTATGATTTAGATGGTCTCATCACTGGGAAAGAGGGTAGTCTCAGGACAGCTTCTTCTGTCTCCATTGGGTCTGATCTCAGAATCTAAGCAAGGAAAAAACAAAAAGAAGACGAATTGTTATGAAATAATCATTTAAAATAACGTGTACTCAGAAACCTAGTGGATCCATTTGAACTCAAGAGAATCAGTGTATTCTTTTCTTAGAGGAATGGTACAGAACAAACAAAATTTAGATGTAAACAAAAAGTCACAGAAACAGTAGGCATAGCTGCTGTTTTTGTGGAAAGAATGAATAAACGGTCTCCATCCTCTCTTCGTAACAAAGAGTGTGTTCAAATGAAAGGTGCTAACGGCTTCTATTTGTGAAATGTGCTTTACCATTTTTGGGCTTTACACACTTTAAATCTGAAGCTCTCTAGTTCCATGGACTTTCTAGGCGAACAAATGCTCTTTATCTTTACATTCTTCAATGAATCAATTAACTTTCACATTCAAAACATTACAGCATAATACACATTCGCGGATTTACAATTCATTCAAATACTATCACACATTCAACACTCATTTCTGAGTTCAGCAACTACATTTTCAGTTCAATTTCGAATTCCAATTCCAAAATAATAGAGAGAAAAGAGATCCCTTATTACCGGGTCCTGAAGAACAGGTTTGGTATCATCCACTGCAAGTCTGGACGGTGGTTTCTTCTCTGATTTCTCTTCTGATTTAACAAAACTCGAGGTGCTCGTCGGAGTCTCTGAAGCTTTCCTCATCGCTCTCTCTTTTATTTTTTCTTGCCAGCGATCGAATTTTCGGAACAAACTATTATGGTTTATAGATTTAGGGGACGATGATAGACCTTATTGGGTTAGAGGTAGACCATACACAGAAACCGAGACTGTGAAGACGAAGTGGAAGAGCCAGTGTTACTTTGAAGTAATTCTCGTCAAAGATATGTATCAATTTTTATTTGTGTCAATTTTTATATAAGGAGAAAGAGAATGAAGGAGAAAGAGAAGGAGGCAAAACGAAACAATAAAGAAGAGAGGAGAAAAGGGTAACGGAATTACAGAGCAATTAGGTGTAGGCGAAGTGGAGAAGTCGGTAGATGAACTCTCTACGCTTCAGATGGAATTAGGTGAGTCTGGGCTTGAATTGGGCCAGTTTCAATTTCACTCGAGATAAGCGATATATGACCTGGCAAAAAAGACACTTTTCTATTCGCTGATTATTTTGGCTTACGTGGACAGCCTCTCCTTGGTTTATTTAGACCTTTTAATATAGTTAGATGCTCTAAGTCTCTCTAATTTAACTCACTCTAAATCACTTTATTTTAACCATTTCAGTTTTATTGTAACTGCTAACTACAACTACATCAATTAATATAGTATATTTTTGACAGTCTTTTCTTCTCGTATGACCAAAACTCAACAAACTTAGCGAAAATAAAGTGAGCTCATGCAGCCTTCTTCTACGTCTTCCTCTTTTTAAATTTTCTATATTTTTTATAAATAAAATTGTTAAGAAATGAAGATGGTGGTTGGGACATATCCGGAAATGGACCAGACCATATCAGTACCATACCAGGCGGCCAAGCATCAGTCACTATCCTCCCTTGTGTTTATCCATATGTTGTAGTTATCCTAATCATTATAGGATTAGGATAATCATCCCCTTTATTTGTAGCAATCCTTATCTCCTAAGGAATATGCTTT